AACCGATTCAATATAAATCCGAACCGACTCGATATTTCGGTTTACTAAATTATCAAAACCGAAACCGAACCGTTAAAAGAACGGGTACCGATTTTTGGTACCCGATTTTTTCGGTTCGGTTTACCAGAAACCAAAAAACTGACTCAATTGTAATAAATAAATTTGAACTAGTATTCAATAGACTAAAGCCCATTGGAACTTGCCAATATTTGAGCCCCATTAGCCCAATTGGCAGCCTAGAACGTATCTTAGCAGCCTACACTAAGGGGTCCTAGTTTATATTGAAGTTTTATTTTCCGGTGTGGGACAAAAAAGAATAGGAAAGAAGCCAAATTCTAAAAGGACACCGACCAACTCCGCTACTCGTCATCTATGTTCAAATCATAATCGGGTTTATATTATACTTGTATTAATCATCATTAATTATTATTATTATTATTATTATTATAAATAACAATTATTATTAATATAAAAATGTCGGTTGGGTTCGGTTCGAACCGATATTTTGTGCGCATAAACCGAACCCGAATCGATTTTTTTTGGGTCCCGATTATTGGGTCCCAATTTCATTCGATTCGATTCAGTCCGGTTCGGTTTTTTTCTAAAGCGATTCGGTTATTTTCGATTCGGTTTTCGGTTTTTCGGTTCAAAATGTCAGCCCTAGTATATATTACTATTATAATATACTACTAATGACTATTTGGGTCCTACACATATGTATGTAATATAAAATACGTAGTACATGGCTGTATGAATAATAAATGACTTTTAATTGAATTAATTGTGTGCCTGGATATACCAAACAATTGAATTGCAAAATTGTAAAATCAATTGCCCACGTACCCCAATTGCTTTAGGCGGGAAAATTAAAAAATCAATTGGTCACCCAAATGATCCAATTGCTCTATATAATATAAAGATTAATTATGTGTCTTGATAGACCAAACAATTGAATTGAAAAAATGCAAAATCAATTGCCCACCCCAATTGCTTTAGGTGGGAAGATTGCAAAATCAATTGGCCACCCAATTGCTCTATATAATATAAAGATAAAGATATAATATAAAGATGAGAACCTTTCCACGTACGGAGGTAGCATATATTACTATTACAATACTACTAATGGTTATTTAACTCCTACACATATGTATATAATATAAAATACATGGCCGTATGAATAATAAATGACTTTTAATTGAATTATTTATATGTCTAGATGGACCAAACAACTCAATTGCTAAATTGCAAAATCAATTGAGCAACGCAATTGCTTTAGGAGGGAAAATTGCAATAGACGAGATTTATTGTGCATCCCATTGGGGTAATTGTGGCGCTCTCATGTTCTCACGTTAAGCATTGTTGTCATTTAATTTGATCTAAATTCTCTCTCTCTATATATATATATATTATATATATATATATAATTATATATATATATATATAATTATATATATATATATAATTATATATATATATATATAGACACACACACACACACACTAGACGATGAAACCGTACGTTGCACGGGAATATTGTATATACATTAATGAGATAAAAAGAGATTGGATGATTATTTTGTTACAAACTTATTCCATACTTGAAGTGTTATTAAATTGATCAATTATCATGTTATGAAAAAAACATTACAATTTCTTACATTATCTAAAAAAAACTGATTAAACCACAAAAATCACCTTTTGAAAATTTAGAATGAGGGGAATTTAATTTTATAGAGTATTTTTTAAAAATAAATTATTAATACATTAATAAAATAAAACATAGTAATAGTAGAGCACGTGAATAGTGTAAAATTTCTAATGTTACAATTATTTAAGAACATAAATACTATATATGGTCATATGAATAGTAAATGATTTTTGAGTGCGTGTCTGGATGGGGTAAACAACTCCATTACAAAATTGCAAAATCAATTGTTATGTGTGTCGTTTTCTTCATATCGAAATTCGGTGTCATCAACATCATCTCCAATGTCATCGTGACATTTGTGCAATTAAGTAGTCAAAATGATTTGTTATTCTCACTATATACAAAGTACTCCCTCTCTCTCATATATATAAGTTCTCACTTTTTTTTTCCTGAACGTCCCGTATAAAATTCTCATTTCTCTTTTAGTAAACGATTAACACTCTTAAATTACAATTTAATCATCAGATATTAAAAATAATGCATTTATAACATCACAACTATCACTATTAACCTCATCATATTATATACCTATCAAATTTATTTTCAAAATATACTTAGGCTATCATATTTAATTATTGTCTAAATAATCTTCACATTTTGCAATAAGAACCTTTCAACGGACGGAGACAGTATATATTACTATTATAATATACTACTAATGATTATTTAATTTGGGTCCTACACATATGTATGTAATACAATATAAAATACATGGTTGTATGAATAATAAATGACATTTAATTGAATTAGTTGTGTGTCTCGATAGATCAAACAATTGAATTGCAAAATTGTAAAAATATCAATTGCTCGCCCCAATTGCTTTAGGTGGGAAAATTGAAAAACCAACTGGCCACCCAAATGACCCATATATAATATAAAGATGAGAAAATGGTCAAATAAGGCCTTCTACTATTGCAGAATCGTCGCATAAGGTCATGTACTCAATAAAGTGTCGTATAAATACGTCTACTTGTAAAAAAATAAAATGAGTCCTAACGGCTCATTGGCAACCTCATAATCCCCATTCTAGCTTACATGTCGTTATTTTTTCTTTGTATTGAAGCGAATATTGGCTAAATATTTCACGTCACTCTTATAATCTATTTTGAAAAGATAGCTAGACGTATGAGAAACCCGGGATTACGAGGTTGTCAAAAGGGCATCAGGACTCATCCGATTGCTTTTTACAAGTAGACGTGTCTATATGACACTTTATTGAGTTCATGGCCTTATGTGACGATTTCATAACAGTAAAAGACCTTATTTGACTCTTTTCTCTATAAAGATTAATTTTGTGCCTAAATAGACCAAACAATTGAATTGCAAAATTGCAAAATCAATTGCCCACCCCACTTGCTTTAGGCGGGAAGATTGTAAAATCAATTGGTCACCCAATTGCTCTATTGCATCTATATAATATAAAGAAAGTACTACTGGAAAAAGCACGTTTTACAACGAAACCATGCAACAGACTCGTACTTGTTGCAATAATGCAAGTACATTTGCAACGAAATATGATGTAGTTGCAATATAGCAATGGATATTGCAACGAAAAATAAATTCATTGCAAATGTGGCCGAGAAAGTGAGGGAAAATATGTTTCAACAGATTTTGCAATGGAAAGAAAATACTCTTGCAATAATTGCAAGAGAAATTGCAATGTCCTATCTGTTTGTTGCGTAGTTATAGATTTGCAATAGATTTACAACGGATAAATCGACCATTACAAATACAGAAATACTCACTTGCAACGAGTTTGTACCGCAACCATAATTTGCAATGGTGTCAATTCCATTGCAATTTTTATTTTTGAAAAAATATTCTTTTTTTGTTAAAAAATGTATGGTCTCTTTGTATTTTATACGAGGAAAATTAGCTATTGTCATTAAAAAAATAAGAGCCCGTTTGGTGAGTATGTTTTTCAGCTTATCAAGTTTATCGGTTAACCTTTTTCACCAAGCACATAAATTTTAATTTCTCGCGCTGCATTATGTAATAATAAGAAAATTAAGGTTGAAGTTACTTTTCTGGCTGTACCGACTGAAGTTACGGTAGATGATCATTGTTTTTGAATAAAATCAGTTAATTAATAATATATATTCAAATATAATTTTTATATAAATAAGTAGAATCAATCAATCTAGTCACTTTAGTCAGAACTTCATAAGTTTCAACACCGATTCGGTAGATTTTGATATTAGGAAACATGATCTAAATTAAATATATAAAAAAGATAAAAAAACACATAAAAAAAGATAAATAACGTAATTGAACTTTTATTGTTTTAAAAAATCAATTAAATACATAAAAAAGATTAATACTCCATAATTGAACTTTTATTGTTTAAAAAATTCAATAGGGGGAAGTGAAATATACTACCGCCAGGCGCCAGGTCTCTAACTTTCCGATTTTCCCCCCTCCGGAGCCCTAGTTAGTGTAGCCCGTCTGCAACGCGTATACTGTACAGTATCTCCTTCTCCGTGGCAAAATTGTTTACCGCAAATCGCAATTCTTGTCTCCGCAGCGCTCTGTTTCACGCTATCATGTAAGCTTTTTTTCTGTGTTTGAGTTAAACTGTTATAGATATATGCTTGAGTCGATGCAATTGAAAACAAAATTTGGAATTGTTGAGATTAGGAATAAAGTACGATCTATTGTTGCATTATAGATCAATATAATTAGGAATGGTTTCTCCTTTATTGCTTCTCTCCTTCCATATTCAATTTGGGTTCTGGGTAGCGGTTTCGGCAACAAATGGGGTCTTGCGGTTAGCAGAAATCGTTGACCTGCGGCAAGGGTGATTTCAATTAGTCAGCCATATTTTTTACTTCTAAATATTCTGCCAGTTTGCCCACCACCTCATTTGTCATCTGCTTCCGCACCAGACTTCTAAAGACTCTTTCTCCCCTTCTCATCTTTTGTGAAGCCTCAGTATAAGTGTAAAAGGTTTGTAGGTTATCAAAACTTAATGAGAACAAAATCATTTTATAAAAAACATTTTCTGTTAATCATTTGATCATTATTCTGTCCCATGCTAACCTACAAACTGTGCATCAGTACATTATTTGTATTTCATATTGAAATTCAAAGTGTTAGCATATTATTTGTATTGCATATTGAAGTTCACGGTGTTTCATATTATTGAGTTTGTAGTTTAGTATTTTAAGCATGGTTTGTATTTGATCTCTTATATATATATATATATATATATATATATATATATATATATATATATATATATATATATATATAGACACACACACATATCAGTCAACAGATTTGAACTTTTTTTCTTATCTAAACACTGCAATCCTCTCCACATTCTACATATCTTTGAATCCACTTTACAACTTTAGTGCAATGGCAAGCACATTGAGGCTCTTGACTCCGGTGAAGAATTCCAAAAACAATTTTCTTGCTTACTTGGTAATACTACTACATACTTTATGAATTTATAACTGCTTGGATTTCCTCCAAGGTTTTTCCCTTGGTTTCTGGTACAACTTTTGCCACAAACAACACTGTCAGCAAGCAAAACATGGCGTAAATCATGAAAGTACCTGTGAATAAAACATACAAAGAGTTTGATACAAAAAGAAGGAATTAATAGAATATTATAAGGACTTATAATATTAAAGTATTTTTTTTATAGAAAAAGTTAAGCAAAGTATATTAAGGTCAAAATGTCAGCCTACCAGTGGAACTCCATTCCATCATAAAGCTGAAGCTATAAGAGACAGCCCATGCACCTGACCAGGTAATCAGAACAACCATGCTTCCAGCAGCACCCTTTACGTGAATGGGGAATATCTGAAAGATTTTTCAAGAACTCAAGAGTTTATTTTGGGTTGAGGTCAATCAAGAAAGAAAAAATGGGTGTCGGGCCGAAGAACTTGAATGTTGATCTTAAAAGGGTAAAAATACCTCCGACATTATAAGCCAGGGAACTGCTCCCAATCCAATTGAAAATCCTGCTATATATATCTGCTCACAATTGTAATACAATGAATGGTACTTTGTAAGTTTTATTTAGTTATCCAAGATGGCCTCTATTTGACAGCTCTAGATATTATCGGAATAATTTACCAACACTCCAGATACAGCCATTGCTGGAACAAAATTAATCCACAGACTTTGACCCTAAGTAACAAAATCATGAAACATGTTAATGAAACGTGTTAATTAACTGATGAGTGAAAACTTTAACACGCCTCTCAGTCCAAACGGGATGAGGATGAGTAATCAGTCAACATAACTGACATAAAAGGCGTCAAACAAACAAACAAACCACCCCGAGACACATACTATACTAAAAATTTGAGTTTATCCTAAAATGTCTGACCTCAAAGTAGCATATAGGAGGTGTTTGGAACTAATTCTGATTCTGCTTCTTTTTTAAAGCAGAAGCAGAATCAGAATCAGTTTTCAGAAGCTGGTCACCCTTAGCTTCTAAAAAACTGATTCTAGGAGTAAATTAGAGCACCAGAATCACTTCTGCACTTTCACCCAAACACCCCAACTTCTGCTTCTGCTCCCTGAAGGAGCAGAAGCAGTTTTAAGAATCAGATCCAAACACCCCCATAATCTTGAATGTGGCTTTATGACATTACCAGTAAGATGGTACAAATACCTTTATCAATTACCTTGAGATAGAAAGAAGCTCCTGTTATAAAGCAGCCAATAAATGTTCCTGTCGCTGAAACCTTATTACCAGTATGCAAATAAAGTGCTTAGAAAATAACCCATCCAAAAACGCACAACCAAAGATAAAATGCTCAGGAATAAGAGAAATAAGAATTACCAAAAGAAGTGGCCTTCTTCCTGTTCTGTCCATCAACATTGCCCCGACCAAAGTTATAGGGACCTGTTGAAATAAATATGGTCGAATCCGCAGCTGAGTTACAGAGGCGAGAATCCCCCATCCCCAGAAACCCTGAGTATTGATTAATGATAGGGAATAAAAATCATTTTCATACTTGCACAATAGCATAGGCAATAGTCCCCGTGTTTCCATTCGAAAGGCCTGCATGCAATTTTCACCCAAAGCTAATCCTAATTAATAATTCTGTTAAGCATCTCAATATATTATACTACATATCATATATATAGGCACAGAACTAACATATACTATTAGAATGTTTGACTAGTACAATTAAGTTGATCTTTTAGTATGTAATCTCAAATATTAATACAATATTAGAATTAACTAAACTCAATGAAGCACATATAATTGACTTTACTCTAACATATAGGCATTGATATATTTGCATTAATGAGCATATAGATGCCAGAATTGGTAAGTTCCAATGAATTACCATATTGCAAGACATGCCAAGTTATCTCACACAGTTTAGACGTAAAAATACAGATACTGTCCTATAATCTTGAATTATGTCCTAAAGCATCAGGTTAATCTATTAAGATAGAGTTTTGAAGTAATGGTTGACTGTATTCTAAAACTACTGCTAAATTCAAGATGTAACAAACATTAAAATGTCAATTACCAACGGCCGAAAATGTATCACTAGCATAGAAACCAATCCCGTTTATCCCACTCGCTTGTTGGAAGACCATCATTCCCACACCGATCTGAAAATTGAACATTTTTCATCAAGGAAACCCCCAGTACAAAAGGAAAACTAATACAGATAAATCATGGGTTATGGGAACGATTGCATTCTTACAAATAAAGAACGAATGTATTTGGTGCCAAACAAGTCAAGGATTCTGGCTTTGGGAAGACTTTGGACACTCTTAACATATGCTTGTATTTCTGCAGCTTCTTTAATAACATCTGCATCTTCCCCCCGAAGTTTTCGCAGCGCAGCGTCGAAATCTTTCTCACGACCAACTTTTGCCTGAAAATGCATACCAATAGTCACTTGTTTTATCCCCCCAATTACACGTCATTGGCAGCAGATGCATATCTGGGAAAAAAATTAACAATACTTACCAGCCATCTAGGTGACTCTGGGATAAAGAACAAACCAACAAGCAAGAACAGACATGGAATAATTCCTGCAAAAAGAGTAATATACACTCATTTCACCAAGGCCAGCTCTGCAATATAATTTGTTTTAAAAAAAATCTGTATATACTAATGTATTAGTGTAGGTGGGAATAAAATCTAACCAATGAGTGCTAAATATCTCGAGGTCATAACAGCCCCCAGCAGATATGCAACTGATGAGCCACAAACAATCATAAGCTACATGCAAATCAAGACAACATTTAATAAAGCTCAAAGTTAATTATAGTAGTGTCGAGGAAATGATCTTACATTGGCTAGATAGGAAAAATAAAAACGCACGACGAAAATATAAGACATTGCACTACTCTTCTATCAAGTTAACTATACAGGTTAAACCCGAAAATGTTAGAAGGAAATGTCCCAAATAAGGTAGCTCGATATGAAATAAGATTTTGGGCTACTCATATTATCAATTAACCAACCAATGGAACTCTCAACTTGAAGTATAATCATGATATATAGTCAACCCAGTCTATATCCGCAATCTGGGACTATAACTGCCCATGTCGGATAGATATACGCAAAATTGACATATAGCTTTGAGCTACTCCTCTTATGATAGACTAAATTAGTCTAAAGTTTTGTCACCTGATTAATCGTCGTAAGCCCACCACGAAGATTCTTCGGAGCAATTTCAGCTATAAATACAGGAACCTGGAGTTGTAAAGATTATAACACAACAGCCAATGCAGCTAATAAGTTATTATAATAATATTGAGTAATATATATGAATATATGTTTTAAATATATGAACTCACCACATAAGAGAATATTCCTATGCCGAATCCTGTGAAGAACCTTCCGGCATCAAGCGACCATGATCCCTTTAGTTACCACCAAAAGTAGTGTTTTATTTATCAACATTTAGATTACCATGATCTAGTTACAAAATAACAATACAAAATATTTAAGGTTCAATTCACCCTTAAAATAAGTAAAAACAAATGCTTCATAGAGATAAAAGGACAAATGTTACTCATTTACCATGGAGTAATAAATTGCAAGCCACCCATGAATGCATATCACTGCCGACAGTCTCATTGCCTGTGGTATATTATAGAAACAGACGATGGATCTTTATTTAACTATTTATGTTTTCTTAATTACAGTGATTTCTTTTTGCAAGCAAGTTTAGGAAGTTTTCTTAATTACAGTAATTTCTTTTTGCAGGTAAGTTTAGGAAGTTTTCATACCCATTTTCTACCAACTAAGTCTGAAATTCTTCCACTTGCAACGGCACCAATCATTGCTCCAATGGTTATAATAGAGCCAAACATGGAAAACTGAAATGGTATAATAAGAATATAAGATCTAAATTGATATCAATAAAAGAAAATTACAAATATATGTGAGAATAGGAAAATAATATGTTATGTACTCCTATTGATTTCTGGAATAAAACAAGTAGGAGATACACATGCAACTATCCTCCTACGTTAGTTATAAAGGGAACTGCTTTATTTTACAAGGAAATTGTTTTTTACAGACAAATTCTATGCATAATTATTATTAGTCCCCTGAGGTCAGGTCAAAATTACTAATTTAACCATGCATTTTTTAAAATCATTTATTTATCCCTTGAGATGTTGTTGTTAGCCGACCCCAAATTCTTTTGGGATTAAGGCTTGAATGGTGTTGTATTTATTTATCCCTTGAGATTTGGTTATTCACACTATTTTCCCCTCCCATCAACATTAATCACATTAACTTCATATATTGTTAAATTTAATTAATTTTTTCTAAATATATGTTTTTATAAGTCAACATAATCCATCATCATGATTATAAACCATAATTGTTTCTTTGAATTTCTTCTTTGCTACACACGAAACAAATGACATTCAGATTAATTGAGCCGCATGAATTACACATATAAGACTTTATATTTATGATGAAGAAGTATCTATAAGTTTAAACAATTTTAAAACACACATGTAGTATTTTAAACAACAATTTTGAAATGTATTCTATGAGTATTACTTGTGACTCTTCTCCCTTGACTACTCACATTGGTATTTATTTCACGAGTAGCTAATCATGAAGAGTAGATATTGTAGCTAAACAATTTTTATCGAATTTAAAAGTTATACAGAGTATGAAATTTAATTTTAACAATATTAGTGTAAGGGAGCAAACGGTGAGAGTGATCAAAACTGGACGATTAACTAATTAATTTTTGAAAATGCAAAGTTGCACTAGTAAAACGTTGGGGAGAAGGGTTGACCGTCCAAGGCATTGGGTTGAAAAGATAATATTTAGTTTTTTTATATCCATTTTTTCCATTACTTGTTCAAAACTAGCATTTCTCTCTTTCCATCTATTTTTATTATCTTTTCATATTTTCCAAATTACATTTAATTGGACACAAATACAAGCATACAACTGTGAAATAATGGAACAGTTTCGGCTTATCAGGCTTATCAGTCAACTTTTTTACCAAACACGTAAATTTTGCTTTCGCGCGCTGAATTGTGTAATAAGCCGAAAAAGTAAGGTTGAAGTTACTTTTCTGGCTGTATTGGCTGAAGTTACTGTAGATGACCATTTTAGCTATTTTTACATATATTTTTTTCTTTATTTTATTAATAAAATATATTTTAAAAATATTTTTTTCTTGTATCAGCAGAATCAGCCAATGCAGCCACTTCAGCCAGAACTTCATAAATTTCAGCAGAATAAGCCAGAACAGCCGATTTTCGTGCTGCCAAACGGGCTCCTAGTGTATTAACAATTACATCATTCATTTGGACGCATATAGACAAATACCTATTTTATTTACTCAAACAATTAAAATGGATTGCACTGACAACTAAAATAGGTCACACAATCATGTGTTGTTTGTGAGAAATTTACGTGAACACATACAACTAAAAATGGTCGCATGAACAATTATTGTCGATGAGCAGCACAATATTGTTTGTATGGTAAAATCTATCTTTTAGTTTAACAATTTGGTCATACAAAACTATTATCCGTGCACAGACGATTGTTGTCTATGAACACAGACATTTCACACACAGAAATTGATTTGCACGCCTTTTAAGCAGTTGTCAGTACATTTTTTGGCACAAAGATTAATGCAAGTGAGCACAGACAAGTGTGCAGCATCAATTATCTGAGACCAACATTTGAGTAAAAAAAGTGTAGCTCTTTGTGTACAATAAACATAATTCTTTAAAAAATATAACAAAATACAAGAATTTTTCAAAAAACAGGTAAACAAAAGAAAATGAAACGGGACATTATGTCTTGGTAGAGTCGTTACGTTGTTCCCACTTTCCGTGATACTGAGATTCGCGGAATATTCCAATAATTTGGTTAAATAAATATTCTCTCCCTGATTTTATTAGATACATTTCATTCTTTAAGTTGTTCTAAAAATATCTAGAAAAATTTTAAATTAAGATTCTTTAGCTGCTTACGTATTTATCTATTACTTCACTTTGTATATTATGTGAAATCAATCTTATATTTTGAAAATTAGAATTACAATACACTCAATTTATTCTTTATTCTTAAAATTCGTGTGAAATCCATGCTTATCATAGAGAATATAGTGCTCGTTTGGTATTATCAAAATCAATTGAATCGACTCATTCCGCAGAAATTTATGAAATTCTGGCCGAAATTGCTAAATTGACTGATTTTGTTGATTTATGAAAAATTATATTTAAAATATATTTTATTAATAAAATAAAGAAAAAATTACATGTAGAAATAGCTAAAATGGTACTCTGTAATAACTTTGGCCGATATAGCCACAAGAGTAACTCTAGCCTTACTATTTTTTATTACTCGTATTACACAATTAAGCGTGCGAAATCGACAGTTACTTGTTTGGTGAAAAAGTTGATTGATAAGCTAGATAAATCGAAAAATGACTCATGATTGAATTTAAATTCAAAGCAAAGTCAGTCGAATAAAATAACGCATAGGGCCTCTGGTCGGATTATAGTCCAATTTACATTCTCCCAACGTACCGTCCGATCGGAGTTGGGGGCCTCAAGGTGTCATCCCAAAAAAAACCTTTACAAAAGAAAGTAGCATACCTAGAATTTTACCCGACAAAAAGTGGATTTTTCACCAGAACGACAACATTAAAACAACGAACCTGGGCGACTGATAAATCCAACTCTGTCCTAATGGCAGATTGAGTGGGTGCTGAGTAACCAACCTGCAAAATTTAAATACAAGTTTTTTTTTTTAATTTTTTCCTCCTAATTGTAAACTCTGAAACTTCAATTCTTCTATAGATCAAGTAGTAAAATGTAGAATACTGTAGCTAGAATTACAAACCTTGACATGATATCAAAGTTAATCATTATGTTACTATGATTTATTTGGTCCTATTAAAAAGCTAGAATTTGCAATCCTGTAAGATAGAAAATTGCAAAGATTTTGTCCAAAATAAAATAAGAATGAACCGTGGATAAACTTCTAAAATATTTCTGTTATGGATCCTTTCCAAATATGATGTAATTGGTCCTATTAAACAAATAAATTAATAAAAAATTCCCACCTAAATAAATCCAATTTTAAAATGAAAATATTGACATTTCCACTAGGGATCTAACCAACTAAAAATTGTATCAAAGGTGTCACATTATAAGAGATGTAAGAGAAAATTTGACTTTACATCCCACGTTATGCAAGTTTGAGGTAATATTAGACTTTTCACTTCAGGGTGAAAACCATTAATATATATTTGCACCTAATTTCACTATAAAATCATTAAACTTTGCACCACACTTCGTGGTTTTTTTGCCGAGACTTTCTCTCGAGATATAACCATATAAATATAGGGAAATTTCCTAGAATATGACTAAAACTCATTGAGTTTCCCTAAATATGACTAACCTAGTTTTTTGACATTTGTATGACCAAAAATCCAAAGAAGAAAAGAAAATCATGTTTATTTTAAATGTTCAATGACGAAAATACCCTTATTTTAAATATGCGCATTTTGCATTAATTTCGTCCAATTAAAATTACTGCACTTTATATTGCACATTAGACATCACTGCACAATATTATTGCACATTCATTAATAATCACTGCACTTCCGTCAACTATAATTCTCTTCTCATTCGCTTTAGAAATTTATTTATAATTTTTTTGTTTATATATTTTTTTAGATTTAATAATTTGATCATTTTACATTAATCAAGTATTTTGCAATTCATGGTGCCATTACTGCTCTGTCTTACTGCCCAAAAAAACTGGTTAGATCATAGATAGGGAAACTAATTGAGTTTCAGTAGTACCTAGGGTAATTATCTCATAAATATATGTATGTAAATCTCTATTACGTCTCTATAGAATCAAGTAAATGTAGTATGAGAGTGCTCTCAAAAAACCCAAATTTTAAGGAAAAATTAAGCAAGAAAAAGAAAGAAATACTCACACAAGAACCAAATTCAAAAGAGCCGCAAACAGCAACACAAGTGCTGAGAACCACCATGAAGACAGACCCTTTATCGTTGTGATCATCAGAATCCACATCCATCTTTGATGAATAGTCATCAAGGAATGGAACCTCCAACCCATCCTCACACCCTTCAATATCCCTACTACAACCATCTTTCTCCATTGTATCTGAATCTCTAGGATGCACACTAATTAATTAGTACTAGCTATGGAGTTATAACGGTATCATTGTGAGTGCTGTTGTGGGAAATATGTAGTTTGGGTTTGGAGCAGCTACTATTTATAGGGACCTAACATACATAGTAGAAGAGGAAGATATTTATCCAACAACTATTTGTGTGCACACTCTGATCTTTAGACGTACTACTGTATATATACCCATTGCATAGCCTCCTCCGACAACTATTTGACAACTTTCTCTTTTTTATTGTCTCAAAAAACGTTGTCACTTTCCCTTTAAAGTATTTTGTTATTTGTGAATCTTTCTCTACTATGGTCCACCACTGAAAGTAAGTAATTTGTGAATCTATTCATTTCTCTCTTCTTTGCACAAACTTCAATCACACAATTTGTATTTTTCTTATTTCTCATCTAATCCAAAGAGTGCAATGTTCATTGAGACGAAGGGAGTATAACGTTTTTGTTTAATAAGGGTGTTTGGAATTGATTATGCTTCCGTTTCTTTTTAAAAAGTAGAAGTAGAATCAGAATCACTGTTTCAGAATTTGGTCTTTCTCATCTTCTAAACAACTGCTTGAGTAATTTAGAGCACTTAGAAGTACTTCTGCACTTTCATCCTAACACTCCGATATGCTTCTTCTGCTTCTTCTTTTTCATGGAGCAAAAACCGCTTTATGAAAAAGATCCCAACACCCCCTAGGTTACACAAAAAACATAAATACATTTTGTTAGAAATATAAGTTATACAATTCATGATTCTACATACTTTCTTATTTTTCTCAACAAAATTCAATTTCGCAGAATGAAACAAGAAACAAATTTTGTTAATTTAAGACCTAGAAGACAGACACACTATCAACAAGGAATCTCAGAGATAAAGTGTGTCAATATAGGATCCGAGTAATTGTAAACTATCAATCAAGGATCTAAATTAATTACTAGCATAGATTTTGATTTATTTAATTCTTTTTTAATTTCGCTGATGTTTGATACTTTTTCTACAAAAGTTTTTAAGTTTAATAAGATTAGATAATTTTAAATTAAAACAATACTAAAATTCATGGCACTTTACAACTTAGTTTTAAAAATTTTAATTATTCGAGTCCTACATCGACAATTTTAATTTATCTTTAAGGTCCCCTATTGAGAATAAACTTACCTTTCCGATACTGAAATTGTAAAATTCCACAAAATGATTATGTTTTTGTCCACCCTTACACATACATATATGAATAACATTTTATTCGTAATATTAGTTCTATTCCTGAATTTGAAAACAATGTTGTATTCACGTACTCATTAGCTACATAAAATATACGAAGTATAATATACTCGTATTACATACTGAGTATTACATATACATCAAACCAATAAGCTAGTCTTTATGTCTCATTCAAACTAATGTTTGTCTCACCTACATATACTTATCTAATTCAAATATAGTCTCGAAATGTATATATAAAATAAATACAAGTTTCACTTTCCATTTGATTACTCTCACGTTCCGAAAAGGTTGGCCAAATTTCCTTTTTTGGATGTCCAAAAAAGATTTATCATTTTCATTTAAAGTAAGAAATATATGCTAAAATTAATTTTCTTTCCTCTGCACAAATTTCTACCACACATTTTTTACTTTATTAATTCACGTGAAAGTCAACTTTGATCAACCTTTTCGGGATGGAGGGAGTACTATTTACTACTCCCTCCGTCCTGCTAACAATGGGACAAAAGGGAGTGACACACAAATTAATAAAAAATGGTTTATGTGGTTGATATTGAATTGATAAAGTAAGAATAATATAAGAATGATTTAGAACCACACAAACTTTACCAAATTTGGTATGGAACAATCTTAATGGGGCGGAATGATAAGGTAAAAGGGGGCGATCATAGCTGGATGAAGGTACTACCGAGTATAAGTTTTGTCGTGTGGGATACTTGGTTAGAATGATTAGATACTGATATTAGTGTTTATTTCTCTTTAAATCATAGAATGGGTGGATACAGTGAATTGTGAAGAAACGTAAGGATCGGAGATTAAGGATTGGAGCATGATGGGAGGTGACAGTTCGATCAAAGGTACGTGTGAAGCTGTATCTGACGTGTGATTGAACTGGCAGCCTGCCTCAAGTTGGGGCAATTATAGTACCGTCCCTTTGTAATTGTTCTATTTTCCATTTTTGAATATCTCCCTATTATTATCTCATATTCCCTTCCCTTTAACAATGGGACAAGAGAGAGTTGCACGTAAATTAATAAAAATGGTTTATGTGGTTGATATTGAATTGATAAAGTAAGAATGATTTAGAGCCACACAGATTTTACCAAATTTGGTATGAGACAATTTTAACGGGACAGATCGATAAGGTAAAATGGGACAATCATAGCGGGACGGAGGTAGTATCATATTTGGTAATATTTGTGTGATACTAATTCATTTTTACTTTATTCTCACTTTATCAACTCATTATAAACTACATACTTCTACTTTTTAAAAAAAAATCACATTGATGGATCACCGGGACCGGGGTAGTCGGAATCCAAACAGAATGAGAGAGTGAACTGATCGAAATACAGACAGACAATCCGGCAGTATAACAGTAGGAGAATTGAGAATGTAATCCCTTTTCCACAAGTTGGAAGGTGATATTTATACTAAGAGAGATAAAGCAATACTTGGTACCTAAGTAAAAAGATGCTACTCAAATCGGAAGGAGACATGTGTAAAGTTACTCTAACAAACTATTAGTCTAATTCGATGGGGAGCAGCCACGTGTAAAGGTGATTGGAGAGATAATCTTGGACAGTTGGCTGATTTGAATCATGCCACGAACTGCTACCAAAATACCCGTGGGATTAAGCGTGTGTATTCTGGCATATTATCCGCTGCTGAGGATGATGTGGCAGTGCCCCCTTGTGATGCTGGTCCTTGCGGATTTGTCTAAGTACATAATGCCTTGGCCCACGTGCTTGACCTCCGAGGTCGGGCTTGGTTCCGAGCTCGGGTATTCAAGGTCGGGCTCATGACACGCCGAGTTCGGCCCATTCATGAGCTTGGTGTTTTCCTGACCTCGAGGCCGGGGTCGGGTGACTTTTTGGTCCTTAGTCCTTTCGTTGTCTAGCGCTCATTCCTGACAATGATCGGTCGGGGTCGGGGTCGGTCCGATTGTGGACTTAGTCCTTTCACACACTCCGATGTGGCTCCGTGATGCTTTCTCACCGGCGATTATCGTACCCCTGGGGTATACGAGAATATACTCCATCATGAGCCCCCCCACTCTCCGAAACGAAAGTGAAACTTGAGGTGAGAGAGAGTAAGTCTTCAATTTCCTGGGCTTGTGCGCCCGACAGGGAGTGGTGCTCTCCATGGTCATGACAAAGGGGTACCTCATTAAAAACTCCGCTGAGGAAAAACCCTGTGGGAAAAAATCCTAACGGAGGAAAAAGAGTATACTCTGCCTTGCCCTGAAGTCCGGAGAGGGAAGCAACTCCCCACTACAGAGAGGTCCGAGCTCGAGCTCCATATCCTCCATGTCTCAAACCTGCTTCATGGGTTAGTTGCTACATCCACGGCCCTGACCATGGGCTGATAAAATTTTTGCGAAAAATTGTAAATAATTCATTGTGTGTGTGTGTGCAGAGTTTATATTTTGGAGATATACCTGCTCAGTACCGATCCCGAGGTTGCCATGTTGTTCTGAGCTCGTCGCAGTGTTGTTTTTTGATTTCGTTCCCGAGTCCCCCATCTACCAGTCTCCCACTCTTGTGGACTTAGAATATTTTCTAAGTGTTGAAGAGTATGAGTTCGAGGGGACGAGGTAGCTGTCTTTAATACTTGGTGGACTTAAGAGAATTTGTGGCGTGTAGTAACGCTGATGTGTACAAATAGGAATCTTTACATATTCCTTTTGTAACATATTTGGTTTATTAGCCGCTTCTCAGCATTTAATGCGAGGCGTGGCGTTTGAAATGACTTTACGACGCCATCATTGCGCTTTTTGCACGTCTTTTGTAAAAAAAAGCGTTTTAGTTTTTTAGGCGGTTGGAGAGTAGTGCGCCACGTGTAAGCTTCCCGTTCGATTTTGAAGGGAAGTATAAAAGGCGAAAGCTTTCATCTTTCTCCCTTGCGCTTTCTTTGTGTTCGAGCTTTCAGAGTTTCCAAGCAACTTCAGAGCTATTCTTCTCCGGCTAGTGCTACTGTACTTCCAGTTTCTTCCGTCAACTTTTCCTTCCAGGTTAGTCCCCGGGCTCTGTTCATTTGTGTCTAATTTGCCGTCGGTTTGCCGGAAAACCCAGAATGAGGGGTTTTCCGTCAAACTGGTGTCGTGTGCGATGGGGGGTTTACAGTCCCCCATTGATGTTGAGGTTGGTACCTCTGGACTCGGAATCACACGCTAGTGTCGATTTGAGTGTAATTTTTGTTTGGGGGCCGGATTTTTGCTCCTTAACCCCGGATTCTGATATTCTGCATGTTCGTGTTTTTCTGCAGATTTCGGAATGTCTTCTCGCAGTGCTTCTGCTAATACCGGGGATAGGGCCAACAATGACCTACCTTTGGGGTATGATGATGCTGCGCTATGAGGGAGGCGGGCCTGAATGATGACCTTGCGGATGTGTCCTCCGCTCTTGAAGTTGTACCGCTGAACGCGCGACCAGGGCGCAAGGTGCCGGTCAAGAAAAATGTCAAGGATAATGCTGAATTTTTTACCCTGGACAGTTTCGCCGAGTCTATAGTCCCCTGTTCACTATCTGATAGGGAGTGGGAGGAGGCGAGGCGCCTATGTGGTCCCAGTGTGGTCGTCATGAGGCCAGATGCGGGCGAGCTGCCCTCTTCATGCCCGTCAGGGTTCTTTGTTGCTTACTTTGACGCCGTTAGGCATGGCTTCAGGTTCCCTCTGCATCTCTTTTATGTTGAGTACTTGGATTGGGTTGGCATGCTTCCTTGCCAGCTTACCTCCAACGAGTTTTATTATATTGCTGCATATCTACTGCGCTGCCTGGGTTCGGATATCACCCCCAGCGTGGGATTGTTCCGCCACCTATTCAATAT